GCACATTTTAAAATCACGTGATAGCAATATTACGTCTCTGGGAGATTTAGATATCGGTTTCTAAGGTTACGTGACCACCTTGTGACAAAAATTAATATGGTATTTGCCTTAGAAAATGTGAAGAGACCACCTACGGTCACCCTGGATTCTGATGAGCTGTGCTTTAATGGAGAGTCACCTTGCGTATAGGCAAATCATTCAATGTCAATTAATCCAGCTCATTGTCTGTCTAGGCGGTATACATGTAAATCAATACATATAGCTTAGATACTGCAGCTGAACTTTGGACAACGGACAATAAACAGTTAGATATAAGAACAATGTTGTTATCGTACCTGGGCGAAAAACAATCTAATCCGAACTACCATTTAATTAGAATGGAACCTATCTAAGTCCGTGGAATTACATACAGTACTTTATTTAAAACAAAGTATCTTTGTCCGTGAATAAGGATATTGTGATAATTTGATTTGTTCATTTATAAAGATATATATAATCAGGATGTCGGATTGATTTCACTTTTATTTACGGGAATATGTATTTATAAATATCTAATACAAACTTCGCAAGATGTAAGGTGAAATATATTGGGCCTATATATAAACATTCGCTATTTTACAATGGAAATTAATACACTGACGACATAGAACTCCATTACTATATAGTTCGACTGACTGAATTAGGCGATTCATATTACACTCAGATTAATTTTCTTTTTGGTTTTCTTTTGATTTTACTTAATTTCACGCATTGGCCATGCTCTGATTACTATCATTTAACACAAATAAAAGTGTGAAATCTTCCTTAAAACTTTGGTTTGGTTTGGTGTTATTTTGTTTAACGTCCATTTACAACTTATGTCATTTAAGGACGTACATCCATGTGTGTTTTGTAAGCGTGGGTATGTTGTTGTAATGGCCTCCTTGTGATAGCGCGTATCTGATGCCGACTTTATAGTGCTATACCACTGAAATGCCATACCGAAGGCACCCAGCACAGCATTCCTCCCGGTCACATTATGCTAAACGAGTGAACCACTTGTTACTATTACCCCAAATGCTGGAAGGTAAGCAGGGAATAACAACTACCATTTTAATGACTTTGGTATATCCTGGGTACAGAACCCATTGCCTTCCTCACCTGATCTGCGAACGCTCAACGTTAAAGCAAAAAGTGAGGTGTTGCCAAGAAAGGCGCAAGGAAATAGAAGGAAGTTAGAAGTAGAGACCAATTTAAAGATTCAAAATATTGCAATGGGTGCAGCACATTTATTTTGGTCGCTTTTGTGTCTCCAGATAAAGGACACAAAAGCAAATCCTACCGGGGTGCTTCAACTTAGTAAGGACAAAACGAATATCAAACATGTTATAACAGATAAACATCTAGGTTTATATTACAACTCTGATTTCATTTTGGACTGCTAATGGAGAACATATTATTTTGAAGGCATCAAAAAGGCTTGCTAGGATGTAAACTCCGGTGCACAAGGTTGTGAAATAAGTACCTGTACACAAGGTTATGAACTCCTATGAACAAGGTATTACACTCTAGTTCATGACGTAATGAACTTTTGTGCACAAAGTTGAAAAATACAGTACACAAGGTAGTGAACTCTGGTGCATTAGTTTGTAAACTACAATGCATCAGGTACTTAATTCTAGTACACAAGCTTGGGGGCTCCACTGGCTGCATAACGTTAACTATATATAGTGCACAACTTCTGTTAACTTTAATTTACTTTTATTGTTCACTCTTATGCACTAGGTTTGCGTGTTCAGTTTGTTCTCAACTGGATGTCATGCTTTGGTATGTTATTTGTTGGTTTTTGCATAATTACAAGAAGCCGGATTAGTGAGCGCTTGAAGAGAGATTATTACGATGATATTCTAATAAGAACTCTTAAATTTGGTATTCGTCACGTTCACAGCTTTGAACAATGATGCCTTGCCAATAGGCAATGCATCAAATATCGATTAGTTATCCCATCCAAGGATAAACACTTGTTTAAGATACAGAGACGTTCTTCCTTACTATTATGTAATGTGCTATCTCGTTCATTACTTTCCTCTGGCGGCTTGGAAAGGACATTGGAAAAATAGTTATCGCGTCCGAAAGCATTATCATTGCGTGTATTGATACGGAACGAAGTTGTATTGCGTGTGAATGTATTCTCAACTATTTTCACCATACAGATCAAAAGTAAATCAGTTATAGGGTCATAAAAAACACCTATTTCAAGTTCGGACATAATTGGGTATGTATGCAATAATGTAGCATTTGAACGCCATATTCATTGTTTTCTCGAATTCAGTTTTTTAGCTGTCATTGATACCCAATGAAAACCATGTTAGGTTATATTAAAGAACAAAGAATGGCATGGGTCCTGTGTCGACCAAGACAAACAAAGTCTTTAAAACCTATACTTGCTGCTCTATGATCGACGAACAGGTTAGCCGGGTATCAAAATAAGGAGATATTGGTCGTTGGAGGGGGATTGCCACGCAACTGTTTACTGATACGACTTTCCCAGAATGGTGCCACTTTTAAAATAGCTCCGACTAGCCCTACAAACGGGGACACAGTCTGCTTCAAAAACGTAAAATCATAACCAATGATAAATCAAAACAAGCAACTTGAGATATTTAGTTGTTTGTTTAACTTCCTAACAATAGGAAAGGCCATAGTGAGAAGGATTACCAGGGGGAAATATCCGTTCAATAAGGGCAGCAGATCAATGTTGGGTTCTTGAATATCCTCTAAGCAGAATACAGCGAACTATCCTCTATTTAGACTAGCCCCCGTTTCTAGAATATTGAATTATGTAGAAAAAAATGATAACTCTAATAATTTTGATCACTTGGATGTCGGATTATAGCCTAAGTTCTAAACTAGGGTGAGGTAAGCAAGTAGTAAAATGCAGTTGTAAAATTCTTCATAAAAACTTAGGGGCTGGTAAACAGTCTATCCTCTATTATGCAAAGGGGGGAGGGGCAGTAATTTAGTCGCCCCTTTCAACATGTAGTGGGATACCGCAGGTCTGTTCTTTCTCCGAGTCCGCATCAGGTTTACATGTTGATGTTGTTTCGTAATTCTATGAAAATTTCCGTTAAATGTAAATATTAAGCGTAGAACAACTCTCGGTTGGTATTTATATAGGAATCAAATGCTTTTAACATTCATTCTAACACGACCGCAAATAGGCTACATTCATATTGCATGAACCCCTCTAGGGCTTCTTGTTAAATACAGATGCAATCAATATGCGTTCATGTTGGCGGAGATTTTAACAAATTATGTTCAATGCATATATTTACATCATAAATTTCACAGGTATTAATGAATTAAATATAATACTTGATATAATATTTGTGATATTGTCGTTGAAGTGTCTCGGTATCTTCAGTGGTGCAAACGATATTCATGGAACAGCCTAACGTGACATAAATGTTTGCTTTTATCGAAGGACTTGTGTTACTCGAGGCGGGAGGAATACTGATGCAATAACGTTCTTAGCCCTATGAACGCATTTTTCTTTCATTAGTGTCCATATTAGGACATGTCATGGGAAATATAAATAAAGCCAATATGTACACCTTCAGGGAACTATTGATTCCATGAGGTGCGTTAGCACGTCATGTCTAACTTATAAGTTGTTGTTTTTTATGTTTTTATTTCACAATTTGTGCTTCAGTGCTGACTGATTACTGATTTTACATAAGTTTTAGTTGGCAATAACATTGATTATATGTACATCTCGCCCTTCTTCAGCTTACTATAAATGCAATAAAAAGGCTCGGCGGAAAAAATGTTCGAAGTGCTATGAAGTGCTCATTTAATTAATTTAAAAACTCAATGCTATGATAAGAACAAAAGGAAACATTGTTCACTGTGTATTTTCTAAATTTACTCATACAGTGTGTATTGATGTAGATTCATTGGATTTACAAGTATATTACCCTAGCAACAACGGCTACCGTAGTTACCATCGTAGCAACCCGCTTCGACTGGTTTTTTTCTCCGTATAGCATTATGGCACCTAACTATTTCTTTGGATGTAAATATAAGAGTTGGCCATCATTTTGACGACGTATATGGCAATATGAACGCAGTTGACAACGGACATATTCAACTGAGACGAACATATAACCATAGAATATATGCGTTGCCATCTGCGTTCATACTACCGTCAAAATGGAGTTCAATCTTATTTAAATGCCATCTTAATTTTTGTTCTAAACAGACATTTGCATTTTTACAGTACCTAAATACCAATGAAATGCAAATTCACGAATACAAGTTGCTCCAAATCAAATTCAAATGATTAAATCGTTGTTTTGTATTCGACAAATATAGCACAAATGACCAATAAAATTCATAGCTGATATGAATTCCACCTGTTGTATTCTATTATTTGTTCAGTGTTTGATAAGCATACTTAAAAATGAATAAAATGGTTGATATTTAGTATAAGATATTTATAATAAAGATACTTACATGCCAATTTCCTTGTGATTACTATACCTATGTAAATAACGGCTGTCGATTCTGGTGGAAATCAGAGCCGTTTCACTCCCGTTTCTCGTCGCAGATTGAAAAAAAAACGTAGATCTTAATGCTCAGGAGTGTGTATACAGGAATGTCAATCGTAACACGATATCCCAATCTATCTAAATAGGATATATTTTATTGACATTTTATAAGCGAAACCCGGGCAACGACAATATTAGTATTCAGGTTTTATGTCTATTTCTTTTATATCCGAAACAAGAACTATTTATGTTTGTTCATAATGCCGTGTTTGTCAATGCCTACTTGTTACTTATTATACCAAGTAAGCCGCTAGATTAGGGATGTTCAGACGCAACGGTCCACCTGATCCTCCTTTTATTTACAACACCAGGTTGCATGTCGGCTTGAAAACGCCCTGTGGTGTTTGCATGTGCGACAAGCGCAGATCAAACCGAGATCTCACAAAGTGTCCGATGCACATTAAATGTGCATATTTGTTGTGGCCGAGCTGTGCATACGAAGCGAATATTCTGTGAGAACGTACAGACAATAATGCCTTAGAGTCTGTGTTCATATATGGAATGTTTTGATTATAATACCGTAGATTTTGATTTCCAGAAATCACAAGAACCGCCATTTTGAAACATGTACTTTTGAAAAATATCTCGAGGTTGCGTGGTGAAATAATGTTGTGTAGAGAGACGACAAATTCTGAAAAAAGCATATGAAGTTGTGAACACTAGTCCGATACAAAAAACATTCCAAGATGAAGAAATCAGGCAGCGGCCATCCTGCAAGTTTTATAACTGTGCTTTCTGCCATTAAATTGCAGAAAATGCCCAGCGCCAAAAAGCGACCCTGGCGGAAAAGATCCAACAGAATGAGCTTGATGTCAAGGACTTCAATCGAATCTGCAAAAACAGTAAGTATTTGCATTTCTTCTGCATAGGATATGATGTTATACGAACGATTGGTAACTGTGATGTTGATAGTCTATGCAATCGTTTGATAATTTGTTTGTATTTAATAAGATACGTATATAAAGGCAATATTAGACAACTCCATTTAAAGGGGGAATGTACATCGTATGAAAAGGGAAACAAATGTAATGTAAATTCAAAATTAATAGGGTGCATGAGTATTGTATATGTTTACATTGAATGTAACTTTTGTTTACAATAAACAACCAAAGTTATATTCAAAACCATGTTTAAAAAACAATTCTCTGATTATTGAGCAAGCTTATAATGTGTGAATACTGTAAATGTACTCATTTTAGCGCGCTCAGATTTTAGCGTATTATCGAACGTAAACTTATAAGCGCTTTGATGAATTGGCGCAACCACAATACATGTAATTAAAACCGATATTCAGAAACTGAAAATTAGCGCAATTATAATTTAGCGAACTATATTAGGAACAAAAAGCGCTAAAATAGTATTACCGCTAAAATATGTACAGTTACAGTATATAAAAGCTTAATATGCGAAAAGGAAATTGTATTGAAAATAATAATACCTCAAAGTGAATTCTTCTGTTTTTAATGAATAACAACAGAAATGAAGGCATTGTATGTACAATCATTGCGAATACACGATATAATTTCTTTGTGATTTGTTTTTTGCACTCATTTTTTACCGGAATGAACATCTTACAGCAATAAATCGTATGACAGATTGGTGAACAAATTATTTTTCTAGTTGATGTGATTGAATTTTTATTTTGCCTTAGATGTTAAAACCTACTACTCCGATTGCCGATAACACAGAGAAGATATAGTACAGACGGCCGAATCTGAGGCATTATGTCGTCATAAGTGTGAAAAATTCCCTTTTCTCAGATATTAATATTCATTTTTAATACTTATTTTCGCAGATATTTTGTAACGTCTGGATTTTTTTTATCTATTAACTTTTTCGTCAAGAAGAAAACGACAAGTAAATGAATCAAAATCAGAAAAAAAACATGTCGTCCTTTACGTATTACAATGATCTATTAAAACAATCTATTTCAGGAAACAGAAAAATGGAGATTGGTTTGGTTTATTTTTGTTTAACGTCCTATTAACAGCTAAGGTCATATAAGGACGTGCCTCCATGTGTGTAGTGTATGCGTGCTTGCGTTTATGTATGCAGGAGACAGTGTATGTTGGGGTGCTTGCCTCCTTGTGATAGCGCGGATATGATGCCGACTTTATAGTGCTATCTCACTGAAAGGCCATTCCGAAGGCACCAATCACAGCATTCCGCCCGGTTACATTATACTGACAACGGGTGAAACAGTTGTTGTCCTCACCCTTAATGCTGAACGTTAAGTAAGAAATAATAACTACCATTGTTAAGGACTTTGGTATGTCCCGGCCTGGGGACAGAACCCATTGCCTTCCTCACCTGAGCGAACGCCCAACACTCAAGCCAAACGTGAGGTGTTGCCAAGCAACGCGCTAGGAAATAAAGACTAGTCAGAAATAGAAAGAAAGATAAAGATCCCTAATCTTGCAATGGGTGCAGCAGATTTATTTTGGTCGCTTTTGTGTCCCTAAATAGAGGACACTAAAGAAAATCCCCAATTCTACAGGGGGTTCCTGCATTAGTCGCCTCTTACGATACATGCAGTGGGTAACAGCAGGCGTATTCTTTTCCCGATCCCCCACCTGCAGGGGTGAAAAAGGGAGTGATAGAGACTTTTATGAGGAACATTTTACACATTCTGAAGTAGATATTTAACTTAGTGAACAACTGATACTAGGGTCCGTATTCCTGCAACCGTTTTCATGCTCAAGCATGGATTCTTTTCTTAAAGCAACTTCTTTTTTAACTCACTTAAATCATGTCAAACGAACAAAAAGACAAATGTAAACATTGAAAACAGTTTTCGGCTTTAAGTCTCTTTGAGGTTGTCCAAATCATTGACAAAATAAGATGTTTTTATTCATTTATAACAGTAACAAGAAATTCGGTTTGAGCACAAAGACCATGCTTTAGCATGAAAACGGTTTCATGAATACGGGCCTATAGGTTTCAAATGTGATCAATTTGATTCAGTACATACTAGCCTTTTAGAATAGTTTTTTTCTTATTTTTACCTTGTTAAAAGTAGATGTTCAATGGGGTTAAACAAGCTGTTGAGATCAAGGTCACTCTTTTCTTTGATTATTATTTTATTTTTTGAAAAGTTCTCAGCATTTCGAAATATTTTACAAAAGCAATTTTATCACTCATTTGTTTATTCTTGCAGCTTAAAGATCTCGCGTAGACCAGTTAAGGTATCTCTTACTTAAATAGAACATGGGCGATATATGCGATCAAAAGTATATTGAACTAATCATTAATACGCTAAGCTGTAAAACGCGTATACCGAAATCCAAGATGGCCACCGTTCGCCGTTTCTGATTGGTTGAGACATGTACTTTTCTATATAAGTTCATTTTAATGAAACATATTTGATTTAAGCTTTAGTTTGAGATGTTTCGGCTCATGTTTGTCATTTGCGCTTCTGATACAGTTTTGCTTTAGTGCATCCATGTTTCATATTTTTAAGTGATGGACTTTTGTCGAGGTTAATACGGTTTTTTTATAGACCGAGATAAAAGTCCTTACATTTTATATTACATACCATGTCTTTAGATAACATGATACATTTGGTATCTAAATAGTGAGAGTCTATGGGTGACTTTTCGGAACGAAATATCAGGATCTAAGTTAAGAAACATGAGGTCGTGATATAGTCACATGTTAGACAAAAATACAAGCATCGGGTCGATACGCTTAATGCATATATATTAGCGAACCTGAGACCAAAGATTTACCAATAAGAATTCAGGAAAACCAGCCCATATGTAATAAATACATATATGGAAAAACATGCATATACTAAAATAATCAAAGTAAATTTGATATTTAAACTCATTTAAAAAACGCCATAATTATGCTTTGCTATGATTTATAGCGTCATAACGTGCGTTGTGGAATATTAAAGTAATTACACTCCTACTCAGAGCTATTTCAAATAATGATTTTGAGTTTAAAACAACAAAATGAACTTCACTCAGTATAAAATAACAACAACAACAACAACAACAACAACAACAACAACAAACCCTTACGGATTGTTGGCTGATTTTCAATTTGTAAACACAATTAAAATTTCCCTATCATGATTCAACTCTTCGCTTTTACATGTGCATGTATGTCAGTATAGTTTCCTCTTTAATGCAACAGCTCAATAACAATAATAGTGTGTATCGTAGTGTTTTCAAGCGAACAGAAAAGCCGATTAAGAGATGACAGAACACGCCCAACCTGATACGATTAGCGAACATCCACATTCAATGTGTTATAATAATGTACACAGTGACAGCGCTGTACTCCGATTGCAGTCTCGTCACGTTTGCAATTCCATCTTTGCGTATTGCAGAGTTATCTTCTCTTGGGAGCAGTTATTGATTGTTACGTCACTTGTTTGTGAGAGTAACGTCATCAATTTTTGAGAAAACGACGTAATTTTCTGACACCTGCTCACAAGAGAAGATACCTCTGCAATACGCAAAGACCGAATAATACAGTTGTAGAAACAATACACACAGGGACCTGAGAGTTTTCCACAGTTTATTTTTTCAGGGTAATATAAGACGTTTTAGGGGTTCAGATTTACCTGAAGGGTTTTCACAGTTTATATTTTTCCCGGGTAAGATTAAAAGTTTTGGGGGAGGTTTAGATCAACTCTCGGTATGTACGAGAAGGGTTTTTCACATGTTTTTTTTTTTGCAGAGTAATTTTAGACGTTTTAGGGGTTTAGATCTACTCTCGGTAAAATGGCACCCCAATGTTGATATAAACCTCTCGGTGTCGGATAAACGACCCCACNGGGGGGGGAGTTTAGTACCATCAAAAAGATTGATATTTTTTCTTACATTCACATGAAACGTATTCTCGTTTTTTTAGATATGGCGTCCGTTTCGGCGTCCGTTTCTAAAACACACCATTTCGATGTTTCAAAATGTTTCTCTGTCATACTGTCATTTTTGCATATTCATGAGGATGATGAAAGCGTCGCACTATGCGAGCTGGTTACTTCACAAAATCTGTATCGGGATCACGTGCTATGTTTCAGTGAATTTCCCCTTGATCGGCGCTCGACGTGTTAAATCAGGTTACGTCAAAACAACAGATTTTCTATAACAAATTCGCAGGTCCCTGTGCAATTAGTGTACGCATCACACTACAAATACACAAATCGGCGGTATTCATCACATTTAGTATATTGGCCTTTTTTCAGGTGTCAGTGTATATATGTAACAAAACCATAATACAACTTCCATTTTATTACTTAGATGTATATATCCTTTCATAAATGTTTTCGATATAACGCCAACTGTCTCCATTGACATCTCACTTACAGCCAACATATTTCAACAATCCATTTTATTTTTTTGTTCCGTCACGTTTCATTTATGCTTCCCATTCGATATATTGCCAAATATCTTGATAGTGCCAAAATTTCACTGGACATATGTCAGATATAACAAGGTCTTATTGTGAAAATAATCTTGATTCGAGATTTATGAAACTCAGCCGGCGGTTTTCCATTCAGCCCGGCAGATATTTGATAAAACATGAACTTATATACTCTTAACATCAATGTCGTATGTGATGATGGCTCGAAAGAGAGATATCATAGTCGTGTGCCCCTTATTTAAGAATCCTTGCCCCGACTTAGTCTCGTTCAACCAGACGCTTGATCGCTTGTGCGTATAGCTTAAGCAGACAACAAGAGTCTGGTTGAACGAGACATTTCCCACTGCACTTTTACTTTTCCTATAAACAGCTAGCTCCCTTGGACTTCCGTTTTCATATAACTGTAGTACAGTTGGGCCAAGACAAATCCGTTGACCAGGAAGCGCAATTGGTTAGAGCGATAGTA